ACTTTATAAATTAGGGAACTGAGTTTCTGAGGTTTTCAGGACAAAAAGATGGCCAGTGTAGCTGAAGCAAAACGGAATAAAACAGAAAGGGTAAGAATTCAGATTTTATTCTGGTTACAAAAGAAAGCAATTAGGGAACTTTAAGCAAAAGAGACAAGACACCATATTACAGTGATGTATGCACACCCACGTACAGCAGCACAATTCATAATAGCTAAATCTATGACACAGTCTATCAGCAGCAGCAGATGAACAGAAAAAGAAAATGGAGTACTACTCTGCCACAAAGAAAGATAAAGGAGTCATCTGTAGGAAAATGGATGTACTTGGTCTCAAGGACCATAGTGTTAAGTGAAAAAAGTAAAACACACAAGCTTAAATATCTCATGGTTTCTCTTACATTAAAAAAAAAAAAACACAAAGGATAAATAAAGAATGAAATAAAAGCTAATAGAAAGTAAAGAAATACATCTTTCTCAAATAGGAAAGGGATCAAGAGATCAGGGAGAGGGTAAGAAGGAAAGCGAAAGGGAATGATGAAAGGAATTAAGTTATGCTCTATACATGTACCAAAACTCCACACAAAGAATGTAAACATGTTGTATGAATATATGCTAATAAAATTTTTTAAATTTAAAAAACCTGATTTATAACTTAAATATAGATTACTTTTAAAAAGTCAATGGAGGCCAGGGATTTAGCTCAGTGGTTCCGGCGCCTGCCTCCCAAGCACAAGGTCCCGCCATCTATCCCTGGTACCAAAATACAAAACAAAAACAAAAAAGTCGGTGGCACGGAAGACGCCGAATCACCTTGCTGCACAGGCAGGTCTGCCCACACCCTACCGAGGTCCCCAGTCCCGCAGAACACACACCGAATCAGCCTGCTACAGACAGGCAGGTCTGTGCACACCCTACCGAGGTCCTGGGTCGCGCGGAAGACACCGAATCACCCCATTGCAGACAGGCAGCCACCTGATTACACGCTACAAAGACACAGAGGACACCAGGCCACCAGACCAAGGTACTGAGACCCACTGTTCCCGGCCCAGAGGTAGGGACTTATGAGCCATCGTCCCACTGTTCCTGGTCCAGAGGAAGGGGCTTCCTGGTCACCATCCCTCCCGCTGCTCCCAGCCCAGAGGAAAGGGGTTTTGGGCCACCTTCTGTCCTGCTGCTCCTGGCCCAGAGGAAGGGGCTTCCGGG